TTATCTCAAATCTGTGAAATACAGTGAATGTTGCAAAATGGGAAATGGGGTAAATAAAGGTGGTGTTTCGGTTTGGTTTGGAGCATCAGAAATTTCTGAGTGTCTAATTTGACATGGGAAGAATCACTACAAAAATTTTCATTCATAGTGAGTCCATTTGCATACCCCCTGAAACTATACTAAGCGAAAATTGTTTTTGTGACTGTATGTGCACCAGACCACATTGTTTACTCTGCTGTCAACCTACATTTCTGAGTCTGAGCTGAAAACATTTTTTCAGAACCATTGCAATTGTCATCTTACAACTTTTATTGGTACAAAATGAGTCTTTATAACTCAAAAAGTTACTGTTATTTTTAAGGAGTCTCCTCAAATATGTGTGAATTTATAAGCAAATGAGGCATTTGAAATAAGTATCTTTGCATTTTTATTTTTTTCTGATGTCTTTATTCACCCTTGCTATATATGCCTAGAAAGGACACAATATTATATGATTTTAGGCTATTTTTATTCTGACCTAGTAAACTTTTTCATATTCAGGCATATGATGAAATTTAGTCCTAAATTCAATTATTTTATACTAGGAACTTTCATACACCTCAAACAGAGAATCTAGAAACAAATATCAGGGTCTGCATCCTCTGTGTATCTTGTGCATAGTATGTTCACATACTCAGCTAGCTGTAGTTGGACTGCAGACATCCTATTAGCTCTCACGTTAAAGAAGGTGAAGTCTTATCCTCATATTCACCTTTTCATAGAGGAGTACGTCCATAAAAATGTCTTTAGACAAGAATAGTTCACAGTAGCTGTGGAAAAAAGGGGGCTGAAGTAGTAATTTCAAAAGTATTATGTCAGTAATTTTATTTGAGTGCAGACAAAAAGTATTACATATCCTTAAAGTACAGCACAGAGAACAGAACAGCAACTTTAAAACAGATAATTCTATAACATGATGAAATGTGAATAAATTAATTCCATTCACTATTTCAGAATTCTACTTAAACTTTAGAAAGTCAATGTAGAGGCGCAGAAGGGAAGAAAAAAATGTCTTATGCTTGTGCCAAGATATTCAAATGTTCCAATCAAAATGAGTTATTTTAGTGTCACTTTAAAAATATATTCTATGGAGCCATAATGTGCAAAAAATCTCCACTTCTATTTGGATAGTGGTAAACCGTCTCTCATTTCAGAAGTTCTTGTGCCCCCTGAGGGGACAGCTTGACTGTTCATTGAAGCAGCAGCCTAATTTCTATGGGGTTAAACTCTGCAAAACAAATAAATGCAAGCTCAGTGTGTTAAGGGTGACCTAGCAATAAATTCAATTTTCCATTGTATATTAAGAGTGTAATTTGCAGCAGTTTAATAGTTGTCACTTCGGCTTCTCAAGAGTCCCAGCAAGAAGTGCGTATCAAGTAAGCGATGGTGGGAGCCCTGTGCTCATGATTAATAAAGCTTGTGGTACTCTTCAAAAGTCCATGTAACGGGTATCTCCCACTCTGATTTTTTTTTTTTTTGGCTTGACAAGGTATAAAAATTCACTATTAGTATCGGTATCTGGTATATAAACAAAAAATACTGGCCTTGTTCTTGCATTTAAAAGGTAATACTGCAGCAATTTTTATGATGCCCTTAAGAGAATTTAAGTGCAGAAATAGGAGATGCTGATTTTAAGTGAATTTCACTTATTTTATTTTAATTACACTTCTGTTGTTTTAACTGCATATATTGATGTTAACCAAAGAGAGTTCCAAAAGTGCTGAAAGACTCTGGTATCAGCTGGTAACATATTACATCTTACTTTTTTGGCAGATTTAATTGCAGTGGAAGGTTTCCATATAGGTTGTTGCTGTGCTTAATGAACTGTGTTGTGGAGAGATTTTCTTGAACTATGTATGGCTGTTGTTAAGGGAGATCGAAAATAGTTGTCAGTTCTCAATCAAAATTGCCCTCCATGTTAATAAGCACAACTATGTGTGCAGTTTAATTGTGTTTGCTGTCAGAGTGCTTAGCAGCTTAGGTCACAATCAATGTCAAAAAACTGACAACATTAATTGTGGAGATAATTTGTGTCAAACCTTAATTAACAACCTTTATAAAGATAAAGGCAACAAATACTACTTTTCACTATTGCTTCTGCTGGGTTATGATTTTACATACCCTACACTGATGGTAGTTGCTTTATATGTAACAAGATGAACATCTTGATAGAGTAATAAAAAGGGGATTGCATAGTATTTACCTCTCTCCATGGTAGATAATTTTATAAATTTATTTATGTTCTAAGAATAATTTATCTTCTCTGATATCATATGATACTTGAAAAATAACTGACTTACTTCCAATATTAAGTATTGAAGGAGAGTTATGGCAGTGTTTTTTATAGCATTTACTTACTTAATGTAGGAAGAAGCTTTGACCAAATAAATACATTTTTCAGCTAGGTTATGGTCTAAGTGGAAAACAAAGATCACCCCAATTCCTTGGCTTGTGAAGTTTTTTTATTGATGTAGATAATATTAATCACACCATATAAGAAAGTGGATTTTATATGCATCCTTAAAACTTTGTTTTCCTTGAAAAATGTCCACAGATTGAAAAAATGCATCATTATGTACAAAAAAATGCATTATTTTGTACATCATTATGCCCTTGTTTTCTGTCTAATGCTACATTGGCTAATAAACAAAAGATTTACTAATTGTTGATCTAGCAAAAATTCACACAGGATGGCAAAAATACTGTTGTTCAGGTAGCTGGAGCTATTTTAAGTATTCAGCCGTATTTCTGCAACTCCATGATGTTGGTAATAATGTTCTGTAGAAACCAGTATGCAGGTTTTTTAAGGAGTTGTAGCAGCTATACTTCTATAGTCCTTCACCAGATTTTGGACAGTTCTGCATAAGAAATTGCTGGAAAACTGGCTGTACCCCTTAGAGAAGTGAGGTTTGGTGAAAGGTTTTTAATTTAATTTATTGCTACTTATGCTATTTGCTGCCTATGAGCTAATATACAGAAGTACTGTGTGCTCTTGGACTTCCTCATGTATTTCTCTTTCAGTGGTTTGAGTTCTAACAGTAAATTCACAGAATGTAAAAGAACAAATTAAAGGAGAACGGCAGCGTGTCATTTTTCAGTTGCAACTTGTGCCACAGAATGTCAGTATATCAGATTCACTCAAGTCTCTTTAGGTATCACAGTGCTGAGTTAAAACAAAAAGGGTTCAAAGAGAGCTGTTTTGTTGAAACCCAGATGCTCTTCATCAGAATATATTTTTGTCTTTTTTGTGGTTCAAACATAAGGCCTGTGGCTTGGGAAAGGTTCTATAGTTTTTTCACATAAAGTGTGAAAAAAAAAAACAACCTTTTAGTTTTTTCACTTAAAGTGTATTTTATTTGCTAAAATTTTGGCAATTTTTAACATCAGAGAAGTTCTTTCATAATTTCCCCATGGCAATAGTAGTACACTGTTTTGCTGAGATGTGCTCTTGAATTTTGGTTTAGGTAGATTTTTGCCAGGAAATTAGCAGAGTGGATACTTCTAGGACCCTTGAGCATTCTGAATTGCTAAAAACTAACACACATTTTCTTGACATGTCTATTAAAGAAAGAGCATGCAGATTTTCAGGAGCCTTACATTTTTTTTTAATGCCCTTTCCTTACATTAGGAATAGGGTAAAAATTCCCCCTCATGTCATTTGTAAAATGGCATCTTGGCATTTAAAACTGTTTCAGGATTTCTTCCAGTGTTGCATACAGTATTCTGCTGTTACATCCAGTAGTCTGATGAGTTTCTTACATTCAAATAAACATGCTGACAGGAAATGGTGCCTATGGAATGAACAGTTTTGCAGAGTAAGGGGTTAGACATCAGAACTAAAGAACAGCAATGCAGGAATAAAATCTAGTAGAGTACAGGTACATACCTGTCAGAACTAAGAGAGGAAAGTGAAGAAAAAGGGAAGAGGTAGGAAACGTAAAGGAGCTGACTGCTGATATATGAAGATGAGAAAAAAAATTAATTGCAACAGATGGTATAGAGCATCTACTATGGAAGGTGGCTTCATAGCAATGACCTGGGGTTTTTTCTACTTACCCACATCATATCATTTAAACTATTATCTGAAGGTGTATTTAGAAACGGTTTTGCTAAGAAAGATAATTCTGTAAAGATTACAGAATTTAAAAATATTTTGTAATTGTTTAGGTGAAATCTTACAGCTTTTGATATTTTGTATTTAGAACTCATGCATTGTTTTGGTCTAAATTTGAAAAACTTGTCTCACCACAAGTGAAATAATAATTTCAATTTATCGTAACAGAAATGAAGAGGAAAAAATGAATTAAAATATCATTTCATACTTTCAAAATTGCTTCTCCAATTCTCTCCCTCTCTTGTGGTTACAGTAGTTAGATATTTTTTTAGTTCTCCTTTCTAACATAGTAGAATTTGAGAGTCAACAGGAGCTATACACAAAAATTTACCCAAGCATACATTTCTCTTCTGATACAGTCCTTTTTGCCTGGATTCTTAATACATAATAATTTACCTCCACCATGCAAAATTACAAATGCTTTCTTCTAAATGTCACTGATTTTAATGTCTTAAAGGTGAGCATCCTGTTTTCATGACACCCTGTGATCACAGCATCAAGTAGCTAATCATGATATTATTCCAGTTGATTGATGAGCTCATTTTGCAACAGAAGTCAAATTGGTTTTTTTTTTTTATTTATAATGGTGATAAAATGTAACATGTGATCTTGCTATTCCAATGCCATCATATTTTGGTTTTAATACAAATTTCAGTAATAAAATCTGTAAATATTGTCTTGACCTTTTAAGGTTTTTAAAATAATGCTTTCTCATTCAGGTGAATGGTATCACTAGAGAAACAAAGCTCTTTCTTTTTTGTTATCTTGAAATCTTGATGTGACTTCTTAAAAATTTATGTTTACTGCTTGGTTAATTGGGTAATTTTTTTTTGTTTGTTTGTTTCAGCACCACCAAAGTTTACAAGAACTCCTGTTGACCAGACAGGGGTTTCAGGAGGAGTTGCCTCATTCATCTGCCAAGCCACAGGAGATCCAAGACCTAAAATTGTCTGGAACAAAAAAGGAAAGAAAGTCAGCAATCAGAGATTTGAGGTATTAGGTCCATTGTTCTGTTCCTCTGAAAAACATTTTATTCCAACCTTGTTTTTAATTCCACTATGTGTGCTTTATTAACGGTGATTTAGCAAAATAAAATTGACTATCAGGGATAATTTGTTGGGAATACTCTAGTAAGTTTTTAATTCTGAAAACCGTTTCTGCGTAGAATGATTAAAGAGAAAACTGCTAATGCTGTTTCTAAGCTGGCATGGTGGAACTGAGGAGCTCTGTGGTGCCCCAGTTCAGTTTGCTGAAGGCTCATGAAGAAGCTGGCAGGGACATGAGCTGAGCTGTGGCTGTCTCCAGAGAGCAAACCACCTCCTTTTGTGAGAAGGTGCGTCGAGCAGGCCTAGGCTTTGGATGCTTCTGCTGCCAGTTCCTTACCCCTTTTGAGTAAGGAGATGAAAGAGGCACTGTAGTTTCTGCTGCTGAAGAGGAAGGGTAAAAACTTGCTTGCTTTTGATATTTTTCTTAACAATAAATTATAAAAAGGCTTGGAGGAAGATGTTCCTCTCCACAACCTTCAGGTAAAGGAAAGAGTGAAAATAGTCTGCTCAAAGGATTCTTATTATCTGGGGGAAATAAGAAAACAAGTATTATTCCCCTTTTTTAGTGGCAAGAATAATTAATGTCAAATATGGATTGACCTTTAACATGGAGAAAAAATGCAGAAAGTGTGAGAAAGCTTTTAGAAGAGATCTCAAAACTGGCACTAAGAGTGTACAATTGTCTCTTAAATGTTTTCAGTGTTAGATATCAGACTTCTGTTTGCTTAAAAACAACTGTTCAAAGATTAATGATTTATATATAAAATGGTTGTGAAATGCATTTTATGAGAAAATTATCTAACATATAGTTATTAACAACCAACTGAATATTAAAGTCCTCTGTATTAATTTTGATTTGCATTTGTGAAGATTGCTTATCCTGGTTTTCAGGTTAGCTTCTTTTAGAAGAGCTGCATTTCTTCTATAAACCAAATTTATTTTCTTGATTTTTGGTTCAATAAATATATAAAGACATCGGGATTCATTCATTAACCATTATAATTTCTGAGTTCAACAAACAAAACCATTAATTTAAATGCTACCTCCAAGTGCCAAAAAATGTTTGCACTTTGCAGAGCATATGTAAAGCTGTAATTGGCTAGAGGGATTAATATAGAAATTTTATCATAAATTTTACACAATTTATCCTCTTCTGTTCACAGAATTTTCACTCAAAGTGAATTCTAAACAGAGAAAGATAGTGCATGTATATGTTTACTTTGTGTTATTCTGCAATATGTCATGATTTATTTCCTTAATATATTGCTTTCTAGGGACCTGTGTATCTGTTTTTAGGGAGAATAAGCAAATATAAAGTAGTTCTATTTCCATAGAAATTATTTACATGTAACTATAAAAAATACCTTTAAATGTTTTAAAAATGCCTTTAGTAAACTGTTGAATAAACAGTATAGCCAAGTAAGATGGAGTGTATTTTGAACAAATAGATGACACTTGCCAAATGTTTTATAATTTTTATCATGTCCGCTGAGCAGAGCAGTTACAAAGTGTGCATACCAAATCATTATTTGAAACAGCTTTTCTTCCTGTTCAAAGTAAGACCATTAATTCATGCCACAGAATCTGTAAATAAGAAAAGAACAACAGTATAAAGGAGATTCAAAAAATGCATATGAAACATTGGGGAAACAAGAAATGTCATGGGATTTTCAGCTGAATCAGTAAGAGAATATTTAGTTTGGTTTCTTTCACATTAATATTTTGTATATTTCTCTGAGTTATTTAATTATGATAGACATCAAAATGTTTTACCTGAACACCTGTCTTCATATAGTAAATGCAGCTGGAAAGGATTCTAGTCGTCCATCTTATCCACATGCTTTCCCAGGGATGCTGGGGATTATTTTGTTGTAATTCAGTAAACTTGCACAGTCTCATAAAGGGTTTCATGAAACTTATCATGATTATTTGTCCCCAATGTGAAAACAGAACTCTTGCTGGAACTTGATGCATGGAGCAACTGGGGAACAAGTAGTTTATTTCCTCTCTCTTGACTGTCCATATATTTGAAGACTATTGTCATTGAAATGTCTTGCTCACCAACTAATTATCCCAATTTATTGATGATCGTAGTGAAAGCTGGGCATTGCTTCTGAAATTAAAATATACAGTAAGACTTCAAGGGTCTTCGCTATTAATCTTTCAGCTTTTATTTATATTATAGATATAGACTCTGAATGAGGATCCTTTTTTCTCTTCCTTCAAATGAATTCAAATAATAGGAATTACAAAAATCTCCTTTAAATTGCTGAGAAGTCCATCTCAGAAGAACTTAAAAAACCCCCAGAAAACTGAAAAATAAAAAGTTGAAAATTATGTCATTCCACCCTGTGTGCAAAAATGCTTTTATTAAAAAATCTCTGTCATAAAAAAATTAAAATCTCATTCAGTAGATGAGGAAGAGTTAGGAATTAACTAGCTGTGGTATGCAGGAAAAGGAAGAATTCATCACATTAAAAATAAATCCCATTTATGATACATATTTTTGCGACACCGGACTTGAAACTTAATCTCTGCAATATTTACCCAACCCAGTCTGCTACAATTGTTTTCAGTGTCTATCCAGATACATTTACTCAGCGTTTAGGTGAACAATAGTAATTACTCTTTTTTAAGTATGTCTGTGAGTATTCAAGTCCTGTGCTCGCATTTGTTGTCTATAAATTGTTAGTCTGACTGCTTAAAGACTTAGAAATTTTTGTTTCCCTTGTAAATACAAATTTATTGAGAATTCTAGATATTCTTTTAATTGTCCTAACATCAGGTGGATATTTTGTTTTATCTGGATTGGTTTAAGATGGCTTTACTGGAAGAACAAGTAATATACATCTTGTGGGCTAACAAACAAATTCAGTATCAAAAAAACACTGGGTTTTTATCTTACTTTCACCTCTCCCAGTGCTTAGTAGAAACTGAGCAATTCCTAAAATGAAAATAGTGAGATACAGGGCATATTTACCATAATTTCTAACCCCAGAGTTTATAGCTCTCTTCTGTCAACATATACAGCGTTCTTACAGGTTGCTTATGTGAAAATGGGACAAAAGAGGACAAATCGAGGTGCAGAGAGATATCTGTAGATATCTGTAAATCACTTTGTGCATGTATATATAGATTATGGACAGATGCTAATTGTTTTGTAGAGGAAAACGAAACAAAAAATTGGTTATAAGTGCCATTTATCTGATGGTAATACTGATATCTCTTAGTGATTTTTAAAATTTCTTTTTAAAAAAGTAGATTAAAGAGATTACTGCTATTACTTAATTACTATGAAGGTTTTTCCAGAACCTACAAAATGTTGCAGTACTCACCAATATTTGATGTGATTCTGACTTCAGATCATGAAGGAAATAAGATCAGTTCAGCGAATTTTCTCATAAAAATGTTATTACTTCTTGTGTGAATACTGAAATTCTAAAACTAAATCTTATTTAGACTCCTAAATGATTTCTTTGTTGGACAAATTTACTTATTTTGTAGGTTAAATCCAAAGCTAAACTGAGTCATCCTGTTTGGTTCAGAAATTGCAGACAATTATTAACTTTGGAGCCAAATGAGCGAGTGAACTGCACTCAGTGAGTAGAGAGGGAATATAGCTGGCAACAATTAAAATTAATGTAACTGTCATTTAAAGGTAAAGTAATCGAGAGCTATTGGTGGTGAACTTCAGAATAAGAGAGCGTTAATTCACATTTTTTCTTAGACCTCTTGTTTTCTGGCTTGTTTTTTTTTTTTTTTTGTTTTTTCTTGTTTTCTGGCTTGTTTTTTTTTTTTGTTTGTTTGTTCATTTGTTTTTTGTCCTGTATTTCTTGAAGCTATATTAAAGTGCCCACTGAGTACTCACTGAACAGCAACATATGTTCCAAGTATGGCCACTTAAACATTTTCCCATATGAAGGGAATTTGGTACATAAATTTGAGAAATGAACCTGTCTTTGGTGACTTGAATACCAGCAGGCCACTATTCATGAACAGATTAGTTGAGGGATAGGTATTTGTAACAACATCTGTGACAGCTTTTGTTTCCTTTTATAGGTAATAGAGTTTGATGATGGATCTGGATCAGTTCTCAGAATACAACCACTGCGCACACCCCGAGATGAAGCTATTTATGAATGTGTGGCTTCCAACACTGTTGGCGAAATAAGCGTGTCCACAAGACTAACTGTTTTACGTGGTAAGTCCTTTCTAAACCTACCCAATTCACTTCATAGAGCTCAAAGTACTACATTGTAAAGCAGAGGATCCTCTCTGGCAGAGGTAAATATAGTTCTTTTCAAATGGACCTCACTATAGTCCCAATGCTATTCATTATAAACTTTTTAAAAACATACTCTACTACAGTGTTTGTGACTTTTGACCATAAAATGGTAATGTGAGCATGTAGGGTATGACAGATTAGACTGAAGAAAAGAAAAATAAGTGAAACAGGAGTGCTATACACAACAGGTTATCAATTACTACTCCAGCCAAGCACTTTATGAATGCATTTGTCTCACATTTTAGTGCTGCCCTGGGTATCTTATCTTTGATCAATCAGCATTTAAACAGAAATTTGCTCAATTAACAGTGACCTTGAAAAGTTGCATGAACAGTTTTTGGATGAGGTTAAGCTGCTGCAAAATTTCTCCCACAAGAGGCAATCATAAAAAAGATGAAGGCTTCTTCCACTTCAGATATATGTCACCTGAACTATATTACTTCAATAAGAAGATTTTGAAAACAGGATTCAATGTTTTCAATTCCGTCAGGGGTGAGGATATTAATGTACTGCCAAGCCTACTGTCTAGATAATACTCAGGGGAGAAAATACTAGTAGTCAAACGACCTGAACATTTTGTTTTGTCACCTGGAAATGAATAGACACTTGGATTTGGAGACACTTCATGAAATACCACACTCTTCAGTTTGCAGGGCTGGCTTTATGACTGAAAATTACTGTCTTGTATTTTGATATTACATGGCATTACAAGGTTTACAGAATTACTACATGCCTGTTTATAGGAATAGAAGATGATTAAACAGCTGTACAACATTTAGAAGAAAATTTGTAGAATGTGTAATTACAATATATTCTTTTCTTGATCCTGTTTTCCAAACACTGGAGGGTGACAGGAAGATTTCTTTTCTCGTGTTATTCTCTGAAGTTCGATTTTTACTAGGAAAAAAGTTCTATCATTGTATTACCTATTTTAATTATTACAGATAGTCTTGACATTAATGTTGGAGACAGCTAGCAACACTATGTACATATATATCAAAAATTAACCCTAAGGACACACTTTTTTTTTTCTTAGAGGATATCTGATGTCAACAAAACTTTTCAGTATTTAAAATTATTACCTCTAATGGCATGTTTGTTCCTTATATTATCTTTTAAAATTCTTACCAGTCTAGCCAATGAAAACAGGAAGATTGATAGATTGGTGTTTTAACAGCACATGGACCTGTTCTTAACTCCCTTAGATAAGGTTTTTCCTTTATTAACTGGTAGGAGGACTTTTTATATACAGTTTCCACATTGTTGAAAATGAACATAAAATGACATTTTCTATTCCATTACAAATTTTGCAAACTAAAGGGAGATTGGGAGGCAGATCAAGGAAAAGCAAAAAACAGCATGAAAACTCAGGTGGAAGTAATATTCTTTGTCTTCATAGTTTCTTGGAATATATTTACAAGACCACTGGTCATGAAATGTGTATGCATGTGTTTTGAAAGAGAAGGCTCTAAACTGAAGTGCTCATTTTGGCTTTTGTAGAGAATTAACAGCTCTCATATGTCTCTACCAAGAACCACAGCAGTTGCAAAAGATAGAGGGGGTGTCTGAGTGTCAGAACTGACTGACTGTACAATGTGGTCTCCTTCTTTACAAGTCCTATTGATTATTAATCATTTTTTTGTAACACGTGTGTAGCTTTGCTGCCTATTTTTTCGCTGATAGTAAGAGCAATAATAGTGGCTCAGTGCCTACTTCTGACAACACTAATATTGCATCCTATTTTAAAAGCAATACATAATGATATGCATATGCAAATGACTAATAAAAAAATCTTATTGGTTATGAAGTTAAAATGAAAATAAATTTCAATTTAAATAAATTTTTTAAATTAAAACCAATAAAATATAAAGATTGAGAATTTTATCCAACCATAATACATATGGCTTTTGCAACTGCAAAAATATGTTTGCCCCAGGAGTAGATTTTTATGGATTTAATCTGAAACTGGGAATTTACGAGAACTCGTGAACATACTGTGACTGTGGATTTAGATAAAGGGGTAATGTCATAGAAAGCAAGGAGCCTGCAGAGAAAAAGGGCATTAGTAAGAAGTTTTGATGGGGTTAAAATTTGAATTGCTAAAAATACAATAGTTTGCTGTATTACTTCCCAAGACACGGCATAATTCAGTGCTAAGGGCATTAGCCTGGAAGATAATTCTATTATTGCAAAGCCTTTACTTTGCAAACTTACACAAATCTTAACTTTGTGCAGTCTGCAACAGTGGAAAACTGTTGTTTTGGAAAAATACTTCATTGATGATGCCTTTTTGGGAAAGACTGCCTCTGCCTCACATAACTGCTGTAGGAATAAATATATAGATGTCAACAGGAATTAACAAGATTTAATGAAATACAAAACAGAATAGAGTGAGCTGGAGCTGTGGTTGCTTATGCTTTTCTCATCCCTATGGTATGTATGTGATTCTGCATTACATAAGTTATATGGCCAGAAAATGCCTATATGGCTTTCATATGTTCTTTTAATTGTTCTGCAATGGTTCTATCACAGACCTGCTTGTCATTTGTGCCTCTTGAGAGATGTCACCCAGAGGTGGAAATCAGATTTTACTCACAACTCAGCCTACAAGTTTTGCAACCGTAATACAGAATATCAGTGAAATCAGGATAATTCCAAGAGCAGAAGTGTCTATCTACATTCATTTTGTTTGATTTTTTCTTTCACAAATCCCAGATTTACTGCTACAAATAATTTCTGCAGCACAGAACAGCAACATTTTTTCTGATATGTCTGTGTCTTTACAGCTAAATTTGTCAATTTTGCTCTGTGCCTGTGTAGAGTAACACATATAGTTCCATGCATTACAGATGCTACCATGTTATGTTAGATTCCCATACTATGACCAATTTTTAGTATTTAGTTCAAAAATAATTATGAATACAAATAAAGTTTTAGCTTCTAGGTGTTAGAAATCTACAGTATGAGAAGGAAGAAGGGCAGAAAAGGCAACTACAGATGATAACATTTCAAGGCCTTATCACAGACAAAATATTGGATCATTTTTTCTTTTACTAGAGTAAATCAGGAAACACTCCAGGCTAAACTTGCACTTGTTAGGCTAAATATCGTGAGAGTATGGATCAAGAATGAATGCCTGAGATAACTGGAAACTCCTTTTGATTTTCTGTAAAGAAGTTGGCTGCTTTCCATGATGGATTCACCCATATGAAAACATTGAACTTGAAGGGAAACAAGGCTTGAAAAGAGAAGTCTGAAAGTTGACTGCTGGAGACAGGCAGACAAGATGAGTCAATACTATTTATTTTGGAAGTTTTTGTTTTGAAAGTTTGTGCTGAGAACCATAAGAGTTGAACAGTGCTTTGATTCTTCTATTTATCAGAGCTTAATACACATGCCTTTCTAGCCAAGAATATCAATGATGTCCTGGGGGGCATTAGAAGGAGCATTGCCAGAAGGTTGAGGGAAGTGATCTTCCTCCTCTACTCAGCCCTAGTGAGGCCACATCAGGAGTTCTGTGTCCATTTCTGGACTCCTCAGTAAAAGAGACACGTGGAGCTCCTGGAGCAAATCCTGCAAAGATCTACAAAGATGATGAGGGGACTTGAGCATCTCTTTTGTGAGGAAAGACTTGAGGAAATGGTCATGTTTAAACTGGAGAAGAGACAAGTGAGAGGGGACCTTATCAGTGTCTATAAGTGGAAGGAATGTGCAAAGAAGATGGACCAGGCTCTTCTCAGTTATGCCAAGCAAAAGGACAAGGAAGAAAAACTGATGCACAGATATCTGAATATTAAGAGCTGCTTTAGTGTGGAGGTAACTGTGCACTGCAGCAGATCACCCAAAGAGATTGTGGACTCTCCCTCACTGGGGGTATCCAGGAACTGTCTGAACGTAATCCTGTGCAATGTGTTCTCAGCTGACCATGTTTGAGAAGGGTAAAGGTTACACTAGGTGATCCCACTGCAGTGCCTTTCAACCCTATGTATTTTGTGATCCATGTATAATCAATGAAAAGCAACAAAGTGTACCATCTTCCTATACTCCCCAGACATCAGAGATGAAATAGCTTTCCTTTTTGCTGTCCATTAATTTCACATTAAAGCCACCTAAATCTAGTTTTAGGTCTTGCAAATGGCAGATATCAAACATTTTCCCTAATTCTAGAACAAGAGTTCTAGTGTCATATACAAGTCTATATTTTTTTTTCATGAAGAAGGAAATAGGTGCTTTCTTCTAGTTAAGAAAGCAGCAGCAATTTTATTCAGTTAATTTTCAGGAATCCCAGTTTTCATTTTAATTTTTTTTTATTCTTATTTCTTTATAAAGTTTTGTCAACACCGTTAGGGCATGAAGAATCCTTTTCTTCTACTAGGTCTATGAGTAAAGCACAGATGTGCACAGCTTTTAAGTAAAAATGTAGAGCACAATATGTATATTATAATGTTGCTCCTGTTTGCTCTGTTTTTCTTTTTGTCTGGAAAGTAAAGAGAGAAACTACAACAGGGCATTTATGCAGAAAGCAGTTTGTTTGTCTTGACCCACAATTTTCTCTTACTCTTCTTGATTGTATTAACTTGATTGTATATCAGTATTTCTGTAATGCAGAGTATTAATACAATACTCTGCATTACAGAAATACTGATATACAGCTTTGGTGTACCACAGGCAGTATATAAGCCTGAAAGAAGTAAAATTTCTGGGGGAAGTGGTTATTCCTTTTTATAATATTAGAAACTGATCAATTTAATGCCAAACATTCACTGCTGCATAAAATGAAATTAAAAAAAAAAAAAGAGAAATATTTACTGCATAGTGTTTCCCTGTCCATTGATACACACAGATACTGAGATAATTATGAGAGATTTTTATGAGACTCTTAAGAAGTGCACAACATTTCTACATAAAAATAGAAA